CTCGGTGCCACCCGTCCCTCGCTGCGCAGCCCGGGCACCCCGGTGTCTGGGGATGCTGCAGCGAGGCGGCCGTCCCTGTGACGTTGGGCAGAGCGAGGGGCGGCGTCCCGCACGGAAGGGTGACCCGGCCGGGGCCGCCTTTCGGGCCCCACGGGTCTCGTGCTGTCCTGCCCTGCCGGACGCTGTGGGGGTGCCCGGCTGTGTGGGGGTGCCCAGGGCTGTCAGGGATATCCCGGGCTCCTGGCRTGCCCAGGGTCAGCAGCCCCCCTGTCCCGGCCGTTACCAGCTCAGGGCACTCCCCCCGGGGCSCTTTCCCTATTTTCTGCCCGTCTCCAGTTTGGAGTCAGCGGCTCCCGCTGCGCGTTCCTGAAACCCGGCGAGCCCTGTTTGGGTGGGAGGTCTGTGCTGGGATGGAAACGCTGTCCCGGGGCAGCGCCCCGATGGGTCCCTGGCACGGGCGGCGGCGGCCGTGGGGGCCACGGGGGCTGGCGGTGCCGCGGGGGCTGCGGCGAGGCCGGGCTGGGGGCCCTGCTGCCCACCCGCCCGCAGCGGTGCCCGTCCCGACGTGCGTCGCCTCCCCAGGAACAAGGAGACCACGCGGGACGAGTTCATCTTCTACTCGAAGCGCCTCATGCGGCTGCTCATCGAGCACGCGCTCTCCTTCCTGCCGCTCAAGGTGGGTGCTGCCTGCGCCGGGCGCGCGGGGACGGGGGGCTGCACCCGCCCGCACCTCCAAACAGCCCCCCAACCACCTCCAGTACCTGCCAACCACCCCCTGCACCTCCTGACTGCCCCCCAACTGCCCCCTGCACCTCCCAACTGCCTCCTGTGCCCCCCATCCGCCCCCCTGCAGTCGGTCACGGTGGAGACGCCGCAGGGGACCACGTACGAGGGAAAGCGGTTCCACAGGCAGCGGGTGAGGCGATGGCGGCCCCTTCCCTCCGGGCTGCATGTGGGGCGCGAGGGCCGGTCGGTGCCCGGTGTGCGGGTGCCGTGGGGCCAGGCGGGCGCCGTGGGGCCAGGCGGGCGCCGTGGGGCCGGGCAGGGCAGCTCGGCCCTCCCGCGCGGGGCCGGACCCCCTGGCCACCCGCCCCGTGCCGCAGATCACCGGCGTGTCCATCCTGCGCGCGGGCGAGACCATGGAGCAGGCGCTCACGGCCGTCTGCAAGGACATCCGCCTGGGCAAGATCCTCATCCAGACCAACCACGAGAGCGGCGAGCCTGAGGTGAGGCCGGCGGGGCGGCCGTGGGGCTGTGCGCCGTGGGGCTGTGCGCCGTGGGGCCCGTGTGCCACAGACCGGCACCCACGTGCCCGCCCCACAGCTGCACTACCTGCGCCTGCCCAAGGACATCAGCGAGGACTACGTGATCCTCATGGACAGCACCGTGTCCACGGGCGCCGCGGCCATGATGGCCGTGCGCGTGCTGCTGGTAAGGGCCCGGTGCGGCGCGGGGCGGCACGGCGCGGGGCGGGCGGGCGGGCGCTGAGCGGCGTACCCGCAGGACCACGACGTGCAGGAGGAGCGCATCTTCCTGCTCTCGCTGCTCATGGCCGAGATGGGCGTGCACTCGGTGGCCTACGCCTTCCCGCGCGTGCGCATCATCACCACCGCCGTGGACAAGCGCATCAACGAGGAGTTCCACATCATCCCGGGCATCGGTGAGGGCCGCRGGGGCGCGGGGCAGGGTGTGGGGCAGGGCGCGGGGCAGAGCGCAGCGCGGTGTCTGTCCGACCTCACCGCATGCCCATCCCGCAGGCAACTTCGGCGACAGGTACTTCGGCACCGACGGGCCCGCCGCCTGCGGCGACAGCGATGCCATGGACTGCTGAGCGGCCACGGGCCAGCCCTGCCGGCCACGGGCCGCCCGCCTGCACCGGCCACGGGCCAGCCCTGCCGGCCACGGGCCGCCCGCCTGCACCGGCCACGGGCCAGCCCTGCCGGCCACGGGCCGCCCGCCTGCGCCCCCGCAGCGGCTGGAGCCGCCGCCTGCGCCTGCCCCTGTGCGGGACAGCGCCCTGCGTGGCCCGCGCAGCCCAGCCTGCCCTGTGCATGGAGGGACACGGCCCTGCAGGGAGCAGAGCTGCCCGTGCACCGAGGAACTGGCCCCGTGGCAGCCAACCGTGCCCTGTGCCTCGAGGGACGTGGCCCTGCAGGGGCCGACCCTGCCCCGCGCACAGAGGGACGTGGCCCCGCTGCAGCCGGCCCTGCTCGTGTTCCCGCTGCAGCCCGGCCCCACACACACATCGCAGCCCCACGCCTGGCGGGACGTCCCCCGCCTCARCCAGAGCTGCCCCGCGCGGGGGGACGCGGCGGGACGTGGACGGGCCCTCCTGCAGCGCAGGGGGCTGCGGCACCCGTTCCAGGGGCCGGGCGGCTCCGGGCGCTCCCGGCCCGCGGGATGCGGAGCTTCTCACCCGCGGCACCGCTATTTATTGATATTTATTGCGAGCAGCGTCCCGGGCCCGCGCGCACCCGGCAGGCTCCGCTCGCCTGCAGCCCGCGCGACACCAGGGCCCGTCCTGCTGCAGCGCGACGGGCGTCCGGGAGCCGCGGGGCCGGTGCCGGTGCTGCCCGGGCACGGTGCAGCCGGTGCCGGTGCTGCGGGAGCCGGAGCTGCTGGGGCCGGTGCTGCCCGGCACGGTGCCGCCGGTGCCGGTGCTGCCCGGCACGGTGCAGCCGGTGCCGGTGCTGCGGGAGCCGGAGCTGCTGGGGCCGGTGCTGCCCGGGCACGGTGCCGCGGGAGCCGGTGCTGCCCGAGCGCGGTGCCGGCGGTGCCCGGACGCGGTGCCGGTTCCGGTGCTGCCGGTCCCGGTGCTGCCGGTCCCGCGCGCGCCAATAAAGCAGCAGCGCCGAGCACCGAGTCCTGCTGCGGGGGCGGGGCCTCCGGGGGGCGGGGCCTGCTCCGGGCGGGGTTTATTGTACCGGGGCGGGGCCGAGGAGGGCGGGGCC